AACCATGTCCCCAGGCCTGATTCCCAGTTTGCCACCTTCTCGTCTGTCTCTTCTAATAAGTTCACAGGCTGAGGATTCTTGATCTGCAAGTCTGAACTCTTAGCCACTGTAAAATCCACAACTTGAAAGTGCTATGAAGAGTCAATAAAGCAAAAGGTAGAATTTTCTTTGAGATTCTGGAGCATTTTGGCTTCCAGGTTTTGGGATTAGGGCTGTCTGACTTAGTAATGTCTTTGCAAATATTCCAGATCCCAGTCCCTCTCAAGTCTGAAGCACTTTGTACAAGAGATACTCAACTTACTAATATTTGTGGGTATCTTTGTTCTTTTTGCAGGGATCATGCTATACGTGTTATAGTACAGCTTGCTGACTTTCCTCTGCTCATGTCTTGGAGATCTTCCTGATTTGTTAAATATCTTCCACAATGTTGAGTTGAGTGTCCATAAACTCTTATATGCACTGGACTATTTCTGTAGATTAGAGTCCTAGATGCCTAGTTCTTCAGTCAAAGGAACCTTTACCAGATTTCCTGCCAAAGGTCCTTTATAGTTTATTATTTTTCTGACGAACTTACTCAATACTATTTCTGTGGTGAACTCTGACATAGTGCTTTGAAATGAATTTCCTAGCTATAGAGCTGTTCCCCTCAGCAAGAGAGTTTGAAACCACAAAGTAATGACTTTTTTTTTTTTTTTTTTTTTGGTCTTTTTCGTTTTTATCGGTACCGGGGATCAAACTCACGACTGCCTGCTTGCAAGTCAGGCGCTTATGCCGCTGAGCTAAATCCCCAGCCCAGTAATGACTTTTTAAAACAAAAAATGCAATTGGTACCAGTGCATCGTGGTATGTACCTATAGTTCCAGCTACTCAGAAGGCTGAGGCAGGAGGATTGCAAGTTCCAGACCAGCCAGGGAAATTTAGGGAGATCATATCTCAAATTTTTTCAAAATGAGGGGCTTGGATGGAGCTTAGTGGCAGAGTTCTTGTCTACCCATGTGTGAGGCCCTGTGTCTAACCCCCAGTTATCAGCAAAAGAACAAATTAAGTAGTTGATTTCTTAGTCCATCCATTTTAGCCAACACATAAGAAATATAAACTTTACCCAGGATTTATGAGACAGATGGGGAGTTTTCAAAGGGATGATTGAAAAAAAACCATTGAAGAATGTCAGATAAGCAAGTATTTTATATATGTACCAACTCCCCAAGACAAATATAATTACCATGTATCACCAAAGGATAAAATGCTGCTGTGTGCCTGTAATGCCAGCCCTGGGGAGGGAGGCTGAGGCAGGAGAGTCACTGCAAGTCAGCCTGGGCTAGTTAGCATGACCTTGTCTCAGAAAAAGGAAAAGTAATTGTACACTTTACACTGATGACGCTGGGTCACACCCCTTTCCAAGTGACATCCATCAGTCATGTTGCTGTTGTGCAGGGACATAAGGAAGTGAAGTGGGTGCGTGTTCTTCGCGATACTCAAGTGTGCCAGGGGCATGCGAGGTAAATCAGCTCGAGGAGCTGTCCAGAGATGCAACACGGAATAATTAAAGCAATATGCAGTCTGCATCACACCTTGTAACGGGAAAAAAGGCATTGGTTGTGAAAATATAGATGAAATCTGGTAAAAACTATCATTTACCATAAAGGCTGTGCTTTGATAAATGTGCCATAGTAATAGTAGGTATAAAATATTTTATTTCTGTGTCATGGTTATAAGAAACTATCTGAGTATAGCACCTGTATAAATCTGACATTATTTTAAAATAGTGTTTTTGTTTAAGATTATTTCTGTGCTTATGGACAGTTTATCCCTGCCATATTGCGTCCCCTAGACCACCTCTTCTGCCCCCTTCAATCCCAGAGATTCCCTCACCTTGGGTCTGCTGCTGACCTCAGCTGGAAAGCAGGTGTGCTTGGGGCACAAGGATGCAGGGTGCCCACTACCACACACTAGGCCGTGAAGGTGTGATCTGAGGTCACAGAGCACCAGGCATAAGGTCAGGCCTGAGCCAACTTTCCTCTGGAATATATGAAAGAGCCGTTTGAGAAAGCTTGGGTAAAATGTGACATCCCAACATGCTATTCTGCAAACAGTAGAAGGGAAGACCGGCCACTCAGATGCACGGGTGACGGTGAATATGGAAATGCTGGGACAGGGTGGCAGTGTGACCTCAGGGCCGCTGCACCAGTTCCGAGCAGACATTGTGCTGTCAGATGGCGCTGGACGGCTGGGGCTGTCCAAGGCTAGATGTGCAACCTTTGTGCAAAAGACAAAGGAGAGAGCAACAAGTGCAGGCGGAATCTCACAGACAGTGCAGGATCGCTTGCGACAGGATTTCCAGGGCGCCCCCTGTCATGCTGACTGACACAGCAATGAGTTAGGTCTGTGCCCAAGTTAGCTGTGTAACTGTAAGTCACTGGTGGTTCTTGATCGTTTGGAACTACAGTCCTATGTGGTTGCTGTGGAATTCCTCTGGAATGGATGGACTGTCTGGTTACATGATTTTGCTTTCAATTCCCAGTTTGGCAGTCCACAGCCCAAACAAGGACTGTCTGCAAAAATGAGGCAGTCACACACAAGCAGTTTTATTTTATTACTGGTATCCAAGATGTTAGTGGGTGAAGTCTTTCGTGAACTGCTGCTTGTTTTAGGCAAAATTTCTTTACCGTGAGTTGTCTTGGCCTATTCCTGAGATTCGAAGATTTCCTCTAAAAGACTGGATGGCTTCTTTTTTTATTTTTTCAGAGGTCCAGAAGCCTTGCAGCTATGTATGATCTCTACAGTGTTTGCTGTTGCTTTTCTTCTCAGCAGACATTTAAAAATGTGAGTGGTCACCGTCCTTTACCATGTCTGCATGTTTCGTGATAGCGCAGAGGTTTCGAAGGCTTGCTTTATTTAAACAGTGGTCCACAATAGAATTTCTGGCTGGAGCTTTAATAACCCTGGCAAAGGATCTGTAGTCTCGACCTTCATGAATTTATACAAAACAAATGTGTGTTCGAAGTCTTATCATGGGCATTTTGGCACTCTATAGTGTGACACTTGTAAAAATCTACCACACTCATAAAAGTTGCTATCCAGAAATTACAGGCCTTGTTTTAAATTTTAAATCAATATTTTTGTGAGGCATGTTTTGTTTCTGAAGAAACATTATGATGCAATTCATTTCGTATGTTATCATCTGGCAGTGGTGACCTCTTGTTTTTTTTTCATCACATTTTGTGATTCTGTCACAGTTTTCTCTGTGTAGTTGAGCGACAACCTTCCTGGGATTTGAGTTTTCACCAATCCTAGCCCAAGCTGTCCTTCTCCAGACTCCGGCAGGCGACTTTTGGAAGACTCAGCTGTTCTTGGGTTTGCTGTAGGAAAAGCATCCAAATTCCCCCAAGAGACTCTGTTGATTGCTGATGGACTGTGGTTTTGGGGACACATTTTGCTGCCTTGAGGTTCTTCCTAAGCTCAGACATTCAAAGATTCGATCTTTGTTTTAATAACGTTTTGCCAAATAATCTTTGTAAGTCTTTCTTTCCTCAGAACAAGGGATGCTTAACCCAACCGACAGACATACAGTTTTGCCATTGAAAACTTATTTACTCTGTTTTCACACTGGTTCTCTAAGAAGTACTCAGGCAATCCTTAGAACTGTAAATATTTTCCAAAATCTTTGTAACAAGATAAATTGTAAAGAGAGCAGGCACACAATTTTTAAATCAATATTCTTTAATCATTTAGGTTGAGAGGACACATGTTGGCTCAGTAGGTAGCCAACTGGATTTTTTAAGCAGCTTTTCCTGTTTCAATTGGTGATTAAAATTTTAAAAATCTCTGACAGTTCTCTTTTCAGGTATTTTGAATTCTGCACCACCAGCATTCTGGGAAGCACAGGCAGGAGGATGCAAGTTTGAGGCCAGCCTAGACAATTTATGAGACCGTATCTCAAAATAAATAAAGAGAAAAGGGGAGGAGATATTTATAATTTAATTCAAATGCCCTGCATTCAATCCCCAGTTCCACAGAAACAGTCAAAACACAACTTGTTTCCTAACCAAATGATGTTTGTTTATGTTTTGTTACTTGGGATTGAATCTAGGGGCGCTATATTATGAGCTACATCCCCAGCCCTTTGTATATTTTTCGTTTTGAGGCAGAGTCTCCCCAAATTTCCAGGAAGGACTTGAACTTGGCATCTTCTTGCCTCCCAAGTGCAGAGGTTACCAGCATGCACCACCAGGCCCAGCTCCCAATGAAAGCTTCATAACTGGCCTATATTGATTCAGCCACAGTGAATTCCTGGTAGAAGTTTTATTTTGTCTTTAGCAAAGTTCAGTCCTTTGCCAATGTAACCAGGCCAACCACAAGAGTGGGAAATGTATACATATAAAGAGCAAACACTGAAGTGACTTTCTGAAAGGTCTCTGAAATTGAACATAGTAACTTCTTATATAGAAACAGAAGAATCTTTTCCCCTTCATCTGAGCCTCATCATGGTTTCTGTGTTTTAAAGGCTGTCTCGGCTTTTGAGTTCTAACTGAACTTGACAGTGGCACTGTCAATCTCACCCTAACGTCTGGGCAGCACAGTGGCTCGGAGCTCTCTGCTGATGCTGTGTGGAGTGTGAGCCACTAGGCAAGAGGCCGTGTGTGGCATTTCTCCTCTCCAGGTCAGCTGTCATGTTGGTGCTTTCCTGCGCTGCCCTTCTGAGATGACAGCCGACAGCATGGAGCCCGGGGAGAATCACTGCTGACAAATTAGCACTGTGTCCTGCCTGTCCTCTCCTCCCATGTCGCAGCAGCTGCATCAGCCCTTCGAGGCCCTGCAGAGGGGTCTAAGTCCCTGCTCCTTACCAAGTTACCAGTGCCTTACGCGGGGGCCTCCCTGGGGGAAGTGCATTTCTACACTTAGCCTGGGAACTACGACTGCTTTGGTTTTGTGCTGTCAGGAGAAATGTAACTTAGAAAACCAAGCTGTGCTCACCTTTCTGTTTCTCCCTGAACTCACAGGTGGCAGTACCTGCCCAAAGGTCACCGTGGTTCCACCGTGTCCGACGAGCAGCACAACCAAACTGATTGACCAGAATGTGTCCGAAGAGGCTCAGGGAATAAATGGGAAGACACCAGCGAAACACTGCGCTCCAAGTCCAAAGCCACAAGGTAGGCACCCTGGGTTGGTGCTCTGTTGCCCAGTGCAGACCGATGAGGGCACCCAGGAGAACACAGCCCCCAGGTGGGATGTTAAACTGTGGAAGGGGGAGTAGCCCACCCCTACCTCCACCCCGGAGTGTCAGTGTGTGAACCTCCTCAGGCCGAGGTCAGGATTTACTCTGCCTCTGAAACCTCTGAAACAGTGTTTAATTTTCTGTATTGGGGCCCTTTTCACTTTACTGCCATTGTTTTTATGTCCCCTTAACTCAGTTGCTTCACACCTTGTGCCCAAGCAAGTGTGAGGCCCGATGAACTGAATAAAAATGTGTTTACAACCAAAGGCGGCAAGCAATGACTTGCTGGATGTCAGGGCTCTGAGTCAGGTGATCCTGTGACAGTGTGTAGCAGACTTCTCCTTAGCATGCAGCCTTGGAGGTGCCTTTTGGGAATGTTGAGCCCAGAAATGAAATGCTGTCAGCCCCTACATCTAGGATTAAGTGGTCAACAAGGGGGAAAACATAAAACGTCATGGTGGAGAGGCTACAATGCTTTGTTCGGTGATCATTTCCTTTTACAAAGAAATTTTCAGCAAACCAGGTATTAATTTTGAAAAACACAAAATTACAGTCTTAATGGTGTAGAGAACAAGATCTTTTGAAATACAGCAGAAAAGCTAAGCTATACTATGGCTTTTTTTTTCTTGAGAGTTAACATGTGAAACACTATGGCTTTTAATGTATGGTTTCTTCCAAATAAGTTTTCATTTATCATGAATGCTGAACATTCACCTAAGAAATGATACTAGACATTTTCAGGATTACTGTACTTTAGAAAGATCAATTTATATTTTATTTATTTTGTCTTTGGTTTCTTTCCTGTTATTGCTAAGAAAAAAACAGTACAGGAGAATATGCTATGACAGAACTGGTGTTACTCTTTAAAGTTCTCTTTGTTCAGGGTTTCAGAAATCTTTAAAATGAGTTTAAAGTGTAATCATCTAGATTATAGGATATTTGTCTTTTGTTCTCTCTGACAGCTATATTTGTGGTGGTATGATACATGACTATCCCCCTAAATCAGTTCAGTGGTGATTTAAACAACTAGCCCATTTAAGAACTTGTAACTTTTTCTTTTGGTCATACTCCTCCTCATAACAGTGATGTGCATATAAATGTTGAATATTATTTGGCCTTCTTTAAACCATTTTATTTGCAAAATACAAAATTCTACCTTTCTCATTAGACCTGAATTGATGAGGATCAAATATTATCTAACATTATAAGAAGTGACTACAATTTTAGTTTATGCAGTTGACTAGATCAAATGCTTGCAGGTCTCAAGACCCCTTTCCCTGGAGACGCATCACGGTTATTCGGTTATTTATAGTAAATATACTAAGAAAAAATAATACAACACCTTTCCTGATCTACTGTGTGCCAGGTGGGAGTTCTGTGTGTAGGCCTTTGATTTTACTCTTTTGTGGTTATAGTAAAGTAAATGTATTGCTATTTGTATTCTTTCTTACTTCCCGTGGTAAGCATGTATTGCATACAATTTTCTATAATGTGAGGAATCTTTCTTACTAAGTCACACGGTATACCTTTCCCCAAACATCTTTCCAATGTCTGGTCCTTCCCTGGCACCCACAGCTAAATTTTTACCTCGTCCTTAACCTTCACATTTCGTATTTTCCTCTTATGCTATTTGGACTTCTATAACAAAATACCAGGAGCTGGCTATCTTTTAAGCAGGAGAAATCACCTGTTCCCATTCTGGTGGTGACTTGGTGATCAGGCTCACAGGTCCACTGCTGGGCCTGCTGTGCGCATTCCTGAGCTTGTGAAGTGTGCGGGTCCGGTTCATGGTAGTCAGGCCTTGGGGGCTGAATTACCTCATCCTCCTGTCATGCACAGGCAAAGGTGCCAGCTTTACTTGGCGGGGACATGAGCATTGCGGTCCTACCTTTTCACCTCTGTGTGTTTCCGTCCTCCCGCATTGCTGCACACCCCACATGGCAAGTCTGTGAGGACACGGCACACAGTTCTACCGCGCCCCAAAGAGGCCGCCCCTTCATGGTGTTGGAACTGCTCCAGGCAGATCCAGCAAGGGGTGGTGGTTTCCTGGCCAACGGTAGCTTCCATTCGTGGAGAGAGTAGCTACTTTTCATTTGCTCAAACTCTGTAAGCACTTGAGTAACCGAGGCAAAGAAAGGAAGCCAGCTCTACTGGGGATCACCCCTTTCTTGCCAGATCTCCTAAGAGATTGCTGGGTCTGAGGGTGCCTTGGTTGAGGAGTTGCTCTTTAATTTCACTGAATTAAGACTTACTCTGGGTCAGTATTTCTCAGCCAGACCCAAGTTTGGCACCGATCGGTCCCTTTTATGGAGCATGGGCAATACCTAGCCTTTTTGTTTTCTGATGGTACTTGGGAAAGTTGTCATTGGCATCTGGTAGGTGGAAGATAAAGATACTGCTCAGCATCTTAAAGTGCTCAGGGAAGCCCCTCACAATGAAATGTTACCCAAAGCAAAATGCCAGTAGTGTCGCAATTGAAAAACTCCGTTTACCCACTAAAAGGCAAAGTAGCTAAAGTCCAGTTGGGACTGGGAGGTCAGAGCAGAGGAGAGAAGGTACTTGTTGCGTGTCTACCTTTACAGTGATTATGTATAACAAAAAAATGCAATGTTTTTATTTTACTAAGAAATAAATGTTTTTGAAGAAATTTCTATAGATTTTTTTAAAAACTGAAAGAGCCACATTTTTTCTTTTTCTTTTCTTTTTTTTTTTTTTCTTTTTTCTTTTTTTGACACAGAGGTGTACTATTAAGTTAAGGCTGCCCTTGAGCTCACTTTGTAACCCAGGCTGGTCTCAAACTTGCAACCATCCTCCTGCCTCAGCCTCCTGAGTGCTGGGATTACAGACACGTGCCACCATGCCCAGCTCAAATTTTCAATTAGAGATTAAAATTATATTTGGATCTAAACTGGAGTGTGTAGATTTTGAAAGGATTTGTTCAATAGTCAGAGCTTGTTTTGCCTCAGCCTCAGAAAATACCCTACGGCCATGGAAAACAATGGCTTATTTGCTTCCTACCAATTCCACAAGTCAGACAAACAAATCACTAGCACCCTCCAGGGTGAGTCTTTCTTCTTATTCACTACTTTGAATATTGGCCTATTTCCTGCCCTGCTAGATATAATACAAAATAGCTTCTACAAAAAGCCAGCAGTTCTTTTTCTCTTAAGAGCTTTGATGCACAACATTCTCTGTAGCTCACAATTACTTTGATAAAGCGTGTATATTGCCACAGGATGTCTCAATCATTAAGCCTAAATATTTCTTAAAATTTCATGAGTTTAAAGCCACATTATTAGTTGACTGCATTTACGAAAATATGGAGTGCTCAGGCCTATTTATTTGCTTCTAAAATAAAACATTCCATGCCTAATAATCCAGCTTTAAAAAAAGAGTATATATGTAGCCAATCACTTTTCATATTGATTAAAATAAGTAATTGAGGTCTACTTAATAATCTCCAAACAACCCAGCGTTTAGTTTCTCTTTTATTCTGGGTCATCCCTTTGCAGAGTCAAGTAGTTGCCTCAAACTTAGCATGTGCAAAACTAAATGACTCATGTTCTTCCCAAGTGCTGCTGTGCCTTGCCTGGGTTTCTGTATACATAACCTCTGGGTTGTGCCCCTCTCCCCCATATCAACCAGCAGCCAGAGTGACACTGACTTGAAAACATAGCATCAAACCTCTGCCTGCAATTCTTCCGTGACTTTTCACGGAAGACTCATGCAAAGTCAAAATCCCTTCCGGAAGTCTGGGCGATCTGTAAGATGTTGTACACAGGCCTCCTCCTCCCCGGGCCTCAGCACCCGCCTCCGGCTCACCCAACTTCCCCATTGAGTGCACATTTGCCTGCAGGCTTGGATGTCTCTTAGCTCTTTCTGTCTTTCCCTCAGGCACCCATCGCCTCTTGTGTATGATTTGCACATGCCCACGATCCCGGTGTTGCAGGCAGCTGAGTTAGTCAGAGATACAGGCAGTGAGACAAGGCTAGGTCCTCAAAGGAGTCAGTGCGGAATAGCTTGCAACTGTAGGGGAGACAGACACCTCCTGCTGTAGGCCAGGCCTCAAGACAAAGGATCAAACAAATGCATCCACATCCTAAAGACTGATATTCTAATTAGTTCCCTATCACCCTAGAGTCACTACTCATCCCCCTAGGGGAAAGGTCACAGCTCCAAGAGTGCCCGCTTCCAGCATGACTTGCTTTCCCATTTGTGCCCAATTTAATCAATTTTACCTAACCTACTGATCTTATTGGCTAGCTATAGTTATGTCCCACCTTATGCCCACCTGCTTTGTGAGTTTCCAGTCTTCCCCCACCTTGAACCCATGGTTTTACTCTATACAAGTCCCTGGAAAAGACAGAGGCCTGGGCAACCTGCTTGGGTCCCCTTCTGTCTTTCTCTCTGCAGAAGCTTTCTTTCGCTCAATAAATATATTCTACTCTTCACCTCGGTTCTTAAAATTCATTCTTCGGTTTTAGAGAACACAAGTTTGTGGACACAGTAGGCTGGGTGTTTCATTCCCCTATATCACCAGCACTCTCTGGGGCTGAGACAGGAGACTGAGCGTGCAGTGTCACAGAGTTTAGGGAGCAGTTTAGGGAGAACCTGGCTCAGATAAAGTGGGTGCAGATGTAGTTTAGTGCAAAGTCCTGGGTTCAGTCCTCTGTCCTCTTCATGCCCATGCACACACCAAGGTGAGCAAGGGGCTCTTTGTCCATGAATGGCAATTAGGTCAAGGAGGTTGCCACATGCATTCTGAGTGCTGCAAAAGCCTGAAAGCCTGAGAGGACCGCAGCAAGTATCCGGTGCAGTGTGCAGCTGAGCGAGACTGGAAGCCAGGCAGCGTGGGAGGAGGCTGGAGCTGTGGTGGTTGGGAGGAAAACCCCAAGAGGCTGGTTCAGAAGGAGACAGCCAGCCTCTGTGGCTTTC